GGTCGTTGTCGTTGTGTCGTCGTGGTCGCGATGCTTGTGTTCCGGGTCATTGTCGTCGCGGTGGTGGTCCTAATGGTGGTGGTGGTGGTGGTGGTGGTGGTGGTGGTGGTGGTGGTGGTACTGGTGGTATAGTAGTGGAACTAGTGGTCGTCGTCGTCGTCGTCGTCGTCGTCGTAGTCGTAGTAGTAGTAGTAGTAGTAGTAGTAGTAGTACTAGTATAGTGGTCACTTAGTAGTTCTAGAAGTAGTATTAGTAGTAGCAGTAGGAACAAGAATCGTAGTAGCAGGGGAAGGACAAGGACTAAGTGGAGGGGTTTAGGCTTAGAGACTTTAGAAAGTTTAGCGATTCGTGTCTTGCCGCAAACTCCACTACTCCATCCTTGATTTTGAATCTCGGCGAAGAGTCATGCCGCATACATCTACTTACAACTACCCTAGCTTGATCTTCTTGGCGGCGAAGGGTCATGCCGCATATCAAGTTACAACTAGATACATCATCGGCTAGTTCATTCCTAAAAAACTAGTCTTATTCTACGTCCCTGTGGCTCCCTTGCCCGCCTCCATCATGTCATCGGCAGCGCGGTCTCCGATGTCCAAGCGAAAATCTGTAAGAGGCGTATTGGGGAGTTGATGAAAACTGAGCTGTAGAATGAGATCATATTCTGTTATATTTTGTATCTTGAGCCACCAGCAAAAAGGTTGGAGGTTACCCACTCGGCAATCGAGTGTCAGCAGACAACTGTAATCTGTGAGGTCACATGAAAGACCGAACGGATGACAGCGTTCCCAAGTAACTCTGTCGTCTGTGCGGTACAGGCAAACACCTGATGGATGACAGCTATAATGCGACCTGATCATCTAGTATTACACTTTTCTATAAGACTTGGAAATGTGTTCTTCTCTTGTCACAAGACAGGTGACGTCTACACTGATCTCGATGCGCTGTTCGTTTGCAGAAGTCATAATGAAGCACCCTGCAGACCTTCAAGACCCAATCCTACAAAAGCGGCTGGAAGCGGAACATCCGAACCTGACTCGAACCAATCCTGCCCGGAACCACATAATCATGAGGCTCGCTCCATCGGGCATGGCGTGGCTCCTACAACAGCCGAACCTGAATTCGTATCGCCCCAGGCCAAACCAGAAGCGAGCAGCTCGGCTGAAACACTGACGATGCCCTTTTTGCTCCCCAATGTCCCCAGATGCCCAGAAGTCGTTCGGATTATCCTCGCTTGAACTGTTCAAACGCTGACTCCAGCACTTGAATTTTGCGCCGAGCCTGACGAAGCAACTCTACAACTTCGTCGTACTTCTCAGCACGTGCCAGCAATTCGTCGTGCTGCCCCTCGCATTCCAGCATACGCTTCCACCGTTTGAAAGAGAGCCCTCGGCTTGCGACAAGAGGATGTAAGGAGACTCATGAAATCTACATGGGAAACGGAAGCAACAAAAAAAAATGTGCCTGTAAAGTCCTCGCCGAAAGTCGAGGACGTACTTCCTTGTCTTCCTGTGAGGCCTCTTGTTGTTTCTTGGCCCTACTTTCCTCGCCCCTCTTTTTTCTGACCTGGAGGACCGGTTCTTCTTTCACGAGGACCACACCCGACTCCTCGACGAGGGCTATGTCCATGTCGAGGGCCGGCTCCTGTTTGACATGGAGGACAACGGCCGGCTCCTGTTTGACATGGAGGACAGCATCCCTGTGAAGGACCGACTCATCTTTGACAGGCTCCTCTTTGTCCGGCTGCTCTTTGCCCGCCTGGCTTTGGGAGGCCGAGCTTGCATGGGCGAGGGCCACGTCCATCTCGGAGGGTTTCACCCTGGAGTCGACATCCGCCCCGCTTGCCACCGATGACCCCAGGTCCTTACCGGAAGCACTCCCGAATGCAGAATCCCGGTCCTCTGAGGCACTGACGACTTCATCCAAGGAATACGGGTCCTTCTCGGGCGGGCCTACAGATGCAATCGAGGCGGGTCCTTCTCCAAGGGTTCTGTCGTTGCAATGCAGCCACCGGTGACACTGTCGGAGGGCCCTAAGTTATTGTGTGACTCAGCTTGCTTCGCAGACACACAGACGGCTGCCAGCACACTCCAGTCAAAGTATCCCGCCTACAGATTGCCGCCAAGATGCTTTTGCGAAGTCCAGACCGATGTCTGTTTATCGCAGGATAGGACTTCGACCACGGCGACATGACGCCATGCCGCCGGATTCGGGCAGGAGGTGTGTGCATGCTGATATGGTGCATGAATGACACTATGTGGCTGAGTCGTTGTCAAAGACTCGGACCACAAACAACAAAAGCTATCCTGTCGCCTCGCAGAGACCATTCTACTGGCTTTTTAATACCTTACTGGCTCTTCGAGTCCACAATGCATATCGTCAATAATCCACACTGGCTGCAGAACTCACAGATACAAACGGCAACACTGATCCTGATTCTGTCTGGAAAGGCACCGAGCCATCGGCCAAGCTCCGCTGAACGGAGTGTCTGAACCTGGCAATGCATTCAGTGGGGGGGGGGGTTGTAGGTGTTGCCGCCTGCAAGCTCCGACTCTAAGACTCGGAAAGCAGCCGGGCTGCTTGTCGGGTAGTTGCTGGAGCTAGTGGCTGGTAGTCGCTGGGATGAACGCATGTACCCACTACCCAATAGAAGAGCCCTGGCTTAAGATAATGGTCGGCTGGGGC